CAAAAAATAGGGTCCTAACCGAAAATCGGCTGAATTTTTTCTATACAGAAAAAATCCGCCGGTACTGAAAAAAACCGCCAGTACTGAAAAAAAACGCCAGTCCTGGGGTCCTGCGATTTTTTTTCTATGCGGAAAAAAACCGCCAGTCCTGGGGTCCTGCGATTTTTTCTATGCGGAAAAAACCGCCAGTCCTGGTGTCCTGCGATTTTTTTCTATGCGGAAAAAACCGCCAGTCCTGGTGTCCTGCGATTTTTTTCTATGCGGAAAAAACCGCCAGTCCTGGGGTCCTGCGATTTTTTTCTATGCGGAAAAAACCGCCAGTCCTGGGGTCCTGAGATTTTTTTTCTATACCGAAAAAAAACCGCCAGTCCTGGGGTCTTGCGATTTTTTTCTATGCGGAAAAAAAACCGCCAGTCCTGGGGTCCTGCAATTTTTTCTATGCGGAAAAAAAACCACCAGGGGTCCTGCGATTTTTTTCTATGCGGAAAAAAACCGCCAGTCCTGGGGTCCTGCGATTTTTTTGTCTATGCGGAAAAAAACCGCCAGTCCTGGGGTCCTGCGATTTTTTTTGTCTATGCGGAAAAAAACCGCCAGTCCTGGGGTCCTGCGATTTTTTTGTCTATGCGGAAAAAAAACCGCCAGTCCTGGGGTCCTGCGATTTTTTTGTCTATGCGGAAAAAAACCGCCAGTCCTGGGGTCCTGCGATTTTTTTGTCTATGCGAAAAAAACCGCCAGTCCTGGGGTCCTGCGATTTTTTTTTATGCGGGAAACAAAACCGCCAGTCCTGGGGTCCTGCGATTTTTTTCTATGCGAAAAAAAAACGCCAGTCCTGGGGTCCTGCGATTTTTTTCTATGCGGGAAACAAAACCGCCAGGGAAACAAAACCGCCAGTTCTATGCGAAAAAAAACCGCCAGTCCTGGGGTCCTGCGATTTTTTCCTATGCGAAAAAAAAACCGCCAGTCCTGGGGTCCTGCGATTTTTTTTCTATGCGAAAAAAAAACCGCCAGTCCTGGGGTCCTGCGATTTTTTTCTATGCGAAAAAAAACCGCCAGTCCTGGGGTCCTGCGATTTTTTTTTCTATGCGAAAAAAAACCGCCAGTCCTGGGGTCCTGCGATTTTTTTTCTATGCGAAAAAAAACCGCCAGTCCTGGGGTCCTGCGATTTTTTTTCTATGCGAAAAAAAACCGCCAGTCCTGGGGTCCTGCGATTTTTTTCTATGCGAAAAAAAACCGCCAGTCCTGGGGTCCTGCGACTTTTTTCTATGCGGGAAACAAAACCACCAGTCCTGGGGCCCTGCGATTTTTTTCTATGCGGAAAAAAACCGCCAGTCCGGCGGTCCTGCGATTTTTTTTCTATGCCGAAAAAAACCGGGGTCCTGCGATTTTTTTTCTATGTCGAGAAAAACCGCCAGTCCTGGGGTCCTGCAATTTTTTTCTATGCCGAAAAAAACCGACAGTCCTGGGGTGCTGCGATTTTTTTCTATGCGGGAAACAAAACCGCCAGTCCTGGGATCCTGCGATTTTTTTCTATGCGCCAGTCCTGGGGTCCTGCGATTTTTTTCTATGGGAAAAAAACCGCCAGTCCTGGGGTCCTGCGATTTTTTTCTATGCGAAAAAAAACCACCAGTCCTGGGGTCCTGCGAATTTTTTCTATGCGGAAAAAAACCGCCAGGGGAAGAAACCGCCTGTCCTGGGGTACTGCGATTTTTTTCTATGCGAAAAAAAAAACTGCAGGACTTTTGGTGTTGAAAATGGGTCATGTAGGTCCACGTTTTGGTATAACCCCCATATAATGGTGCCTCCCTATTTTCGGTATTTGATAATTTTAGCTTCATTATTCACCGATTTTTTTCAAGTTTCGCATTTGAATATTGTAATGGCTTATGACAAAAATTGTCTATGCTGATCCATGACGTCGTATAGACCCTAATATAATGGCTACATTCGGCATTTTTAAGATTTTAACAGAATTTTTAACGGATTTTATTTTTTTGAAAATTGCGAAATTCGTTCCAAATGGTGGATGGCGTTAAAAGTTCGGCCCGGCCAAATTTTGGTAATTCAAATATTTGAATCAGAATTAAGTCAGATGCGAAAATGGATAAAATCGGCCCACGCTATCAAATACCTTGCCCACAAAGGCTCAAAATTTTGAATAATTACAACTTTTATAAAATGTAATGCAAGTGTCCGATTGTCTTCCAATTGCACATATCAAAATATTTTTACTAATGCGAGATCTTTTGTAAAGATGGTAGATATCGGCCGACTCCTTCTGATACCTCGCCCACAACGGGTGAAAATTTTGAATAACCCAATATCTCTGATAAAATGCGAAATAAGCTTCCGATTATCTTTAAAATCCACAAATGAACGTGGAATTAATCGGTCTACTCATTCTGGTGCCTCCCCCACAACGGGTCAAAGTTTGGAATAACCCAAACTCTCATGAAATGCGTAGTAAGTATTGGATTCTTTCAAAATTTCACACATAACAATATTTTTACCAACACGAGATCTGGTGTGAAGATGGAATATATCGATTGACTCCTTCTGGAACCTTCCACACAAAGGGTCAAAATTTTGAATAATAAAGTGCACTTTAAAATTGAAATAAGTATACGATTCTCTTCAAATTTCGCACATCCCAATTTTTTTTTTGTATTAACCCAAGATCGGATAGGGGGGATGATAGATATCAGTTCATCCTTTCTGTTATCTCCCGACAAAGGTTTACAATATTTAGTTCTTATATCTCTCACAGCTTACAAAACAGCTCAGCTATTCTATGCAAAGATGGAATTGGTTACCAAATCTCAACCAGAGATCTGACATGAATTTGTTTTTTAATTATTGACCTACAGCTTCTGGTACCTCCCCCCGACAAAAGTTTAAAATTTTGATTTAATTTGGACATCCCAATATTGTTATAAGTATTAGATGAATTTGAATACTTCGGCCCACTCTATCTGGCAATTCTCTCACATTTTAACATTTTCCAAATAATATCTCATATAAAGTAAATGATGCAGATCTACTCAAAATATGGCACTGGTTGGGACAACGCAAGATATATATTAAAACAAGTAAGCAACGGCTATCGTCGTGCGGGGCCGACCATCTGATACCCTACAACACTACCATATATGTTCGAAGTCTCCTTATATCCAAATCCATTTTGGAAGGTTTCGTTTTTGAAATAATGTCAAAGAGCCCTGCCCAGACTTGGAGAATTTGGCCAATATTCACGTACTCCGTCGTGTTGTATTCTAACAGTTACACACGAAAGTTGTGGTCCGTTTTATAGATAAATATAATCCAATAGTCATCCAAAATGCTAGACTTCTTCCCTGTCCTTAACTCTTTTCTGATGCGAAATTCCGTGTCGATTAGTTTTCAATTTGTGGCAACTACAAATTAGAAAAATTTAAAATTTTTAGTCCCCTTAAGAACAATAGGCTTTAATTCTGACCCTAACCCTACCCCCATATAATTTCGTGAGGATCCGCCGATAATTGTGACATGCATCTAATACCCCCAAAGCGTAGTGTTGAGGGTTGTAAAAAATTAGAAAATTTTCAATTCAAAATTGTGAGTCAAATTGAAAAAATCGCATGCGATAAAAAATATGGCACTCTGTAACAACAATATTTGGGGAAATATATCAAATACAGCTCAGAAATACATTTGCTAAATTTATCGAGATCGGTTCTGATTTGGATATAGCTCCCATATATAACTTCGTCCGATTTACCTTTTATTGTGCACCAAACATCTAATATTTGTCCAAATGGGATGGAATTTGGCACATACGACCGAATTGAGTCTAGAAGCTTGTATGTCAAATTTGGTGAAGATCGGTTCAGATATAGCTAAAGCTCCCACATATATATTGTTCATCCGATTTGTTATTTTTGTCCTCCGCAGCCGTAATATGCACTCTGTAACAACAATATTTGGGGAAATTCATCAAATGCAGCTCAGAAATACCTTTGACAAATTTTATCGTGATCGGTTCAGATTTGGATATAGCTCCCCTATATAACTTCGTCCGATTTGCCTTAAATTGTGTACCAAACGTCTTATATTTGTCCAAATGAGATGGAATTTGGCACATACGACCGAATCGGGTCTAGAAGCTATTATGTCAAATTTGGTGAAGATCGGTTCAGATATAGCTCCGATCCGATTTTTTATATTTGTCCCCCCCCCCCCAGCCGTAATATGCACTATGCAACAACAATTTTTGGGGAAATATATCAAATACAGCTCAGAAATATATTTGCTAAATTTTATCGATATCGGTTCAGATTTGGATATAGCTCGCATATATATTTTAATCCGATTTCATGTTAATTGTGCACCGAATGGGCAATACAAGTCCGAATTTAAAAGATACAAATGCTTCGGCATACTTAGTCCTTTGAACTTTAAATTATAATTCTAATCATTGAATTCTCCCATAAAAACTTTTAATTGTTATGTGGAGCTCTACTAAATTAGCGAAGAGGTGTGGGGTATCATAAAGTCGGTCCGCCCGACTTTAAGACTTTCCTTACTATTTTTTATTCTGTATTTATTTTATTTTTATAATTTTTAATATATTTATTACATTGCTATTTTATTTTTTAATTTGTTGAAATATTTAAATTTTTCTTTTTTTTATTTATTATTTTATATAAATTAATTCATTAGATTTATTTATTTTTTTTTTTTTATTTTATTGTCCATCGAAAAATATTTTGGGACAAAAACCCCAGTACAATTTGGAAATCCCATATCAACATTCATAATTGAAAGATTATCAGAGATTCGGAATAAATGGTTTACAAACAAATAAATTTAATTTCAATGACTGTTAGATTTTCAAATAAAAATATATGGCATTTATTTCATTGAATATTGTGTTTCTTTTTTTTGCTAAGGTAGAAAGGCTTATAAATATTAAATTAAATTCAAATAAATAAAAAGAAAAAAAAAAACAAATATAAATTCTCTACCTGGTGAGACTTTTCCGAATTGCGTTAAAGCACAGCCACATTGTAAATCTGTAAAAATTTTTGTTGCAAATTTATTTCTTTTTTTCTTTAGTTTAATTTTAGTTCAATTTTAGTTCAACACAGGCTTGAATACCTTTTTTACGGGATGGAGTTTCAAAGGGGCGGTGAGGGGGAAAAGAGATATTAGCACAATACGTTATTACACCAACAAAATATAGATCAACATTGCACTGCAGAGGAGAGACACAGTGAAAGAGAGAGAGAGGTGGAGAGCGAGTTCAAATTTACACATCGAACAATTTTAGTTTCAAATTCAATTAAACTCTATATTTATTGGTTAAATGGCCCACAATAGCACACACACACAAATACACACAGTTATGAGCAAAAGAGCTAAAGATAGATATAGAGGGAAAGGAGAGAGAGAGAGAAACTGAGTTAGAGAGGGAATGGGCTGTAAAGAGGCGAACAAGGTCGATTGTTGGTGGTTAAACAACCGCACAGCAGTTTAGCTGATTATATGGAGATGGAGATGTTGACCCAAATTGATGTTTACAGTTTTAGTTTTGTAGCATACTTTCGGGCAAAGCCAGCACCAGACGTCATCACTACGACGACCACCACCACCATTACAATGGGAACAACAAGCACAACAGCAAGAACTATAGCCAACAACAATAAGCCAGCTATAGCCAGCCAGCCAGCCACAAGTTGTAAACGCTTCCGTTCCAACGAACATTTAATGCTACTTCAATTATGTTGTTGTTGCTGTTGTTCATTTTGTTGTTGTTGTTGTTGTCTATAACACATTACATCTACAATTACACAATACTTAAATACATATATATATATATATATATACACATTGAAAACATTACTGGTATGGTTAAGAGGTAGCTAGGGGGTCGGGTTGCTACAGTGGAGCAAAAACAAAATTTTGGGGATAATATTTTTAATTAATTTCTCAAAAGACAAAGAATTGGGAATTTATTAAAAAAAATTTTATTGAAACACCCTTAGAATTTATTTTTTTAACTTTCCAACGATGTAAATTTTATATTTTAATTTTATGAATCAATTCAATCAATAATTCAATAATCAATTTTTATAAAAAATTCTATAAATGTGAATTTTTTTGAAATGACAATTTTTGTGTATTTTATAAAAAAATTGTAAAGTTTCTATAAAAATATGTATTTTTATTATTATTTTTTTTAATTTTCACATCTATGAAATATTTAAAAAAATATTTTTTTTAAAAAAAACTCCCAGAAGATGTTGTTTTTTTAGCTTATCATGGAGACTTTAACTTTCCACAGATGTACATTTTATATTTTAATTTTATGAACTAGGAATTTTTTATCAATTTTTATAAAAAATTCTATAAATGTGAATTTTAAAATATATATTTTTTATTTTATAAAAAAAATCGTAAAATTTCTCTAAAAATAAGTATTTTTATTATTTTTGTAAGTTTTCCCATTTTTAAAATATAAAAAAAAATATTTTTCTTAAAACAACTCCCAGAAGATGTTGTTTTTTTTAGCTTATGGTGGAGACTGATTTTTAAGAAGTAATTTTTAATAAGTATAAAAAATAAGTTCGGCCGGGCTGAATTTTTTATATCCTCCACCTCTTGAAAAATTTCAAAAAAAAAAAAAAAAAAAAAACCCAAAAACTACCACTTAAATGAAAACCTTTATATGGGGACCATACGAAGACGTGGACCTGCATACGAAATTTTTGCCATAGGCTGAAGTTCCCTTTACGAATTTTAAATACGAAATTTGTTGCAATTATTTTTTCCAATTTCTAAAACCGTAGATTTTTTTAAATAATTTTTATACCCTCCACCTTGAAAAGGAGGGTATATTAACTCTGTCATTCCGTTTGTAACATCCTAGATATTTGTCGTAGATCCCATAAAGTACACATATATTCATGATCAGCATAAAATTTTATGTCGATTTAGTGATGTCCGTCCGTCTGTGGAAATCACTCTAGCTTCCGAACGAAATGAAGTAGAGAGATACAATTTTACTCAAATGTGTATTATATGTGCAGGACTTTTGGTATTAAAAATGAGCCATGTAGGCCCACGTTTTGGTACATCCACAATATAACGGCACCTCCCGATATTCGATATTTTGATGATTTTAGCGACATTTTTCACCGGAATTCTTTCAAATTTGGTATATGAAGTTCGTAATGAATACTACAACCTATGACAGAAAATTGTATGTGCAGGTCCACGCCTTCGTATAGCCCCCATATAACGGAACCCCCTGATATTCGGTATTTTGATGATTTATGCGACAATGGAAATGTTTCAAATTCTGTATTTGAAGTTCGTAATGGATACTAAAGCCTGTGACAGAAAATTGTCATTGCCGGTCTACGTCTTCGTATAGCCACAATATAACGGTATCTCCCGATTCTCGGTATTTTGATGATTTCACCAGCTTTATTCACCGGAATCAAATTTCAAATTTTGTACTGGAAGAACCTAACGGGTACTACAACCTATGGCAAAAAAATTCGTATGCAGGTTCACGTCTTCGTATGTCCCCCACATAACGGTACCTCCCGATATTCTGTATTTTCATGATTTTAGCGACATTATTCACCGGAATTTTCACAAAATTTCGTATTTGAAGTTCGTAATGGGTACTACAGCCTGTGACAAAAAATTTCGTGTGCAGGTCCGCGGCTTCGAAGAGTCTCCATTTAATAGTTTTCATTCAGGTGGTAGTTTCCGGAAGTTTTTTGAAATTTTTCAATTCTTTTCAAATGATGGAGGGTATTAAAGGTTCGGCTCGACCGAACTAAGCTGCTTTCTTACTTGTTTAAATTTCCATAGACGCGCATTTTTTAAAAAATATATTTTTTCCAATTCTCATAGGCGTGGATCTTTTTAATAATTATTCCATTCTAATTCTCATAGACGTGGAAAAGATTCACGTTTTCAATTCCCATAGATGTGGATTTTTATTTTTTTTCATTCCCTCCGATTTGGATATATTTAGAAATTATTCTTTTACAATTCTTTATTTTTTCCAATTCTCATAAACATGAATCTTTTAAAAAAATATTTATTTTCATTTCTCATCGGCGTGGATCTTTTTAGAATTATTTTTTTAAACGTTAATTTTTTTTCAATAGCCATTCACGTTTATTTTTTTGAAAATATTTTTTTTTGTAATTGTCAAATTTTTAAAACTATTATTTTTCAATTTCCATTCACATTAATTTAAAACTTTAATGTAAAACGTGGATTTTTTAAAAACATTTTTTCCCAATAACCTTTCATGTTTATAATTTGGAAATAATTGTTTCCAATTGTCAAATTTTTTAAAAACTATTATTTTACAATTTCCATTCACCAATTCCAACCATTCCAATTCTCATAGACATGTATCTTTTAAAAATTATCTCTTTTCAAATCTCATCGGCGTGGATCTTTTTAAAATAATATTTTTCTCTATTCTCATAGACGTGAAATGTTCAAAATTTATATTTTTTTAAATTTCCATTTACGTTAATTTTTTTTTGGAATATATTCTTTTCCCATTTGCCTAAAACGTGGGTTTTTTAAAAACATTTTTTTTCAAAAACCATTCACGTTTATTTTTTTATTTATTTATTTTTTTTTTTTGAAAATAATTTTTTTCCAATTGTCAAATATTTTAAGACTATTATTTTTAAATTTCCTTTCACCAAATCCAACCATTCCAATTCTCATACACATAGATCTTTTTTAATTATTATTTTTTCAACTCTCATCGGCGTGGATCTTTTTAAAATTATATTTTTCTCAATTCTCCTAGAAGTGAATTTTTTAAAAATTATTTTTTTTTTAAATTTCCATTTAGGTTAATTTTTTTTTGAAAATATTCTTTTCCCATATGCTATTCACGTTTATTTTTTTGAAAATATGTGTTTCCAATTGTCAAATTTTTTAAAAACTATTATTTTTCAATTTCCATTCACATTAATTTAAAACGTTGATGTAAGACGTGGATTTTTTAAAAACAATTTTCTCAAATTTTTAAAGATTGTTTTTTTCTTAAATTATCACAAGCGTTTTTTATTTAAGTTATTCTTTTTTCAAATAAATATTTTTTTTTAATTTCCATTTAAATGTTTTTTTTTAATTTTCATTTACTTTTTTTTCTTTTTAAAATTATTTCTTTCCGATTCTTATAGACGTCGATATTTCAAAAATTTTGTTTTTGTAGATTTTTTTAACAAATATTTTATTTTTTTTTTAATTTGCATAAATTCTAATTTTTGAAAATATTTTACCAATTTATCAAATTTCTGTAGAGATAAATTAAAAAATAGTATTTTTCAAATAGACGTTAGTTTCTCAATTTTCCTTTATTCTGAATAAATATTTTTTTAAATTACAAAGATATTTTGCTAAAAAAATATTTAAATTAAAATTTTCCAAAGTTTTGCAGACAAAGAAATATATTTTTAAATTTTCACTTTAAAAAATATATATTTTTCATTTTTTTTTTAATTTTACTGGTATGGATTTTTTTTAAAACTTATATTTTTAAATGTTTTTAAAGAAATATATTTTTAAATTTTCCCTTTAAAAAAATATATATTTGTTTTTTAATTTTACAGGCGTGGATTTTTTTAAATCTTGTGTTTTTAAACGTCATAGAAATTGATTCAAATTTTATTATTTCTCCAAATTTAAAGAGACCCTAATTGCCCTATCTCCATTTATGACTTTATTTGTCCTTGAATTCATAAATTTGTCCAATTTTCACACAAAAATATTTCTCCTATTTGCTCCTGGCTACAACAACAAAAACCTAAATTAAAATTTGCATATTAAATCGATTTTATTGAAAGCTTCAATAACAACCCTTGTTTTCCAAATGCAGCATGTAAGTGTGGTTGTTGTTGCTTTTTCTGTGTACATCGCTACATAAAATACATGGAAAACCTTGTTAAATGTTCAACATCTGCAATTAGTTGTTAATTAGTAACATAAAATTTTTATTAATACAAAAACAAAACAAAAAAAAAAA